CTCCGCGCGGCCGCCCGGGCCCCTCGAGGGCGCGGGGCCCCTGCCCGAGGCGGGAGCGGCCCGTGCAGCCGTGCTCCCGAGTCCTTGTTACACCGCTGCGCCTGGGTGGGCAGTAAGGCTGCCGCAGCACGGACCTAGCCCCCGAGCTGCCACGGGTCAAGCGGGGAGCCCTGCGGAAAACCCCCTGGTTGTAGGAAGCTGGGGAAGAGGCTCAGGCCCCGCTGCTCACGAAGGCAGCTCCCCCGCAGTCGCTTCTGGCCAAGGGGCGAAGTTCCTTCCTGACCCCAGCTCTGGGGATCTGCCGGCCCCCGAGCAGACAGGTAAGGAGCCTCTGGCTTTGGTCCCGATAGGAGCATGGGCACCCCGCGGTCAAAGTCCCCAGCTTTGGCTGTCGCCATCACCCAATGCCTGCAGGAAGGCTTAGAAACACCCTGATACATAGCAGAAAGCATAACCAGGTTCAGTTTACAGCCCTGCTCCTTAAATCTGTATGACTCACCCAGGTGTCCCAACATAGGAAGCACTCAAGGTGTTGGTGCCGGAGCGTGAAAGAAAACAGGGCTTGGAAATGGGGTCTCGGACAGGGCAGGAGCCCACACTTAGCAAACCAGCGTCTTCTAGGAAAAGTCACAGCGCAGCCGAGCAGACCTCCCTGGGAACCTGGGGCTGGGGCGAAAGGAACGGCGCGCTGCAGGTGTCCCACCCCTTGGATAAGGACAGACCTAGCTTCATCTCTCTGCAGGTGGGTTAACAGGTCTTCCTTGCACAATTGGTTGGTTAATGCTGCAATAAAGTACTTTGCCACACCTGCAGAGTAATTATGACATACTGGACAATTAACTTATTAATTGAGTTTGGACCCCACACCTTCAAAGTAATGATAATGCTATAAAAGTGATTACCCAGCTACAGGAAGAGCTAACCAGTATGTAACAACTCTATGGCTGACTTCTGTCCAGGTTTAATTTGAACGTATAGCAGGGCCCTAGACTGAGGCTGCAGAAACCTTTAGCACAGTGAATACCCAGTACCCCAATCCATCAGGGAAAATTACTGTCAAGTAATTGGATTATTTTTAACCCTTTCCTCATGAAGCAATAGAGACAACCCCCTTCAAGACAAATCATAACACCTCCCTTCCTGAGTCCATTTGTATTAGGTGGTTTTATTTTTTCCTTAGTGCAGTTGCAGCTGGTTAAGGAATTGCTCCCTAAGCTTTGCTGGTAGAATTGATGACGCGGGAGATGAGAGCCCCGTTTCATTTGATGCCTGTTAAAAAGAGCGAGAGAAAGCAGCGTGTTCCAAGTGGAGTGGGGCAGATCTGCCTGATAGACATAGTCAAGCCCCTAAGAGGATATTACCAACAATGGGAGATAATCAGCTCTGGAATATCCCTTAGTGGTACTCCAGGATCGTGTATAATGGAGCCTTGGTTCTGTGCTATGAAGCAGCAGTGAAGGAAGCAACAAAAGCTGCTTTAGAAAATGGAAAAGGAACGCTGTCATTAAATGGAGTGCAGTGGGCTCCAAGGAGAGTTTTCTGTAAGAAACACCACCAGGCCCACATTCAGACAGGGAGACAAATCAGCCCCTGGCAGAACAAATGGCAGGAATGTATATTGAAAGCGACTTTCCTAACCAACACATAATAGCAGGGAAAGTGGGGAAAAAAACTTGGAAATTTAGTGCATTACCAACTCAGAAAGGCAGGACTCATTCTGCTTTCAGTAAGTATGTATTTGCCTGTGACTTAAAGTATGGGTAGGAAGAGACTGTTATAAGGGAACTGGAGAACAATGGCTTTCTTGTATACTTGTATTCTTTTCCACTACTTAGCTGTAATAATATATCTGGGGAAAATGATCAATTTGTTCCTTTTCTGGTCATTGAACACTGGACCTTAATGTTTCAGCATCATCTTCTACCATGTGGTTCCTATTGCAAGAAATGTGACATTTTTCTCAGAAAATAGTATCCATGGGCTCCTTTGTTTTGTTTTTGAATTAACTGTTTTTGTTTTCTCCCATGTTTAGGCCCATGGCTGGAGATGCTAGCACAGTTCTGGTAATAATAATACGATTGATTGAGCACCCCTGGCGAGGGGAGGGGAGGGCAGAAGTTTGGAATGACTGCATATCCCTGGCTGGTGAAGAGGATCGCCCCAGTGAAAACTGATAATACCTGCCTGCTGCAGGAATGTAGTCTGCACATATCACATAATCTGCAGGAAATATACTTCAGATATTTACAATATTTTATTGGGACTATTTTTATACTCCACACATATAATGCCTTGGGGTAAAAATCCTGGTTCCACTGAAGTCAATGACAGAACTTCCATTGACTTCACTAGGGTTAGGATTTTTAATCCTTGTGCTTTAGTTATCCTGAAGCTCACTGCATGAGATTCTCAGGGAAAGAAAAGTACAGTTAAGGCAAAAATGCATCTACAATAAAACAATTTTCTTGCATCTAGATATCACCATGAATTTATAGTTAGATATCAGTAGGATCAAACACTAAGGTTTACAGTGACACTGAAGGCTGGAAATCCTCTTTCATTTCTAGCTCTGCAGAAGAGTGAGCGTTTAGTGAGATATTACAGGTTTCATAGATCTATACTTCCATAGATGTTATGTCCATTTTGTTAATTTAGTCTACTCTCATACAAGACACAGGCTGAGGAATAATATGCAGTAATTCCTGGAGATTGAGTCCTGCATCAGTCCAGGACTAAAATATTTCCTGTTAGGTTTTTTGTTTGTTTTGTTTTGTAATTAAGGAATAGCGGCTGTAAGAAATGGGGGAAAGATTGATGCAAAAAAGTACAGGTGAAGTTCTCACAGTTGTCAGTGTACCATGTGGTTTCACTATTGACTATATATCCCATGCATATACGATACACACCATTAGGTTGTGTTAATTTTTCTGTACTGTGGGATCTCTAACTTCCATTTTTATGAGGCGGGAGCCAGTGTAGAAGCTACCCTTTTCCTAGAGCACAATTGAGAAAATCTTTGGAGGGCAATTGCATGGCTTTCCCCATTTCCTTATTGACTGTTTTTTCTGCATAGGGGAATAATTTGGGGAAATTATGTATTTACAGTATTTCCAATAAAAAGATATTTGCTGTTTTAACAAGATCGTGAAAATGCACTGAATGTTTAAAAAAAAATTATTTTCATGCATGAGAATGACTTTTAGAGCCACTAACTTGAAAGTAAGTTCTACTTTACCCGTCTGTCCTATGACCTTATACATTTGACTCCTGTGTATATCCTGATATTGATGCCTGCTTATACTTCTTCCCCAGGCACCTTTTGCATATTCTCCCATGCTGCCTTTTATGAACAGAAAAGCCTTCCAGCCAAATCCACAAAATCCTGAACCCCCACCCTCTTTCAAGTACAATGCATACAACAAATTGCCACTCAATAATAGCTAGATAAATAGGGAATTCTGAGTGTGCAATATTATAGGTAATCAGGAGTCACACTCACAATTGTCTCATCTATCTGTTATGCCATGTTTTTGAAAATGGAAGTGGTGTGGCTTGACAAGTTCACATTTTAAAAAGGCAAACTTTTGGAAAAAATATGAAAAAATTCCCCATTTTTAACTATCTTTAATTCCTTTGGGGTATATACTGTCATCTGTCATATGTTTCACATTTTTGTAGAGTGCCAAACACAATGGAGTTTCAATCTGATTGAGACCTCTGGTTGGTACAAATGTTGATTATTCTATTTTAGCTCCTTTACAGTACAGTAGTGAAATCTGACTTGTTCAACTGCCCTATCTGAGAGTCCAAGAGGCTCCATCTGCTGTCAGTAAGCCACTCCACTAAGAATGGAGGGAAGAAAGGGCTGCTAATCTGATACAATTACTGATTTTTTTTCTTGGTGTTTTATAAATTCAAAGGACGTGAAGATGCATAACAGTGTGCTGAAGGTACATCAGTCCATCAGATCCACAAGGACAACTTGCTAGATCTAAAAGGACCAAATGGTCATGTTTGTCTCATGCCAGGATAACAGATGTTACCCTGGTGAGGCTGGTGAATGCAATAAATTGCTATCATAAGGATTTTTTAAAATTCAGTTAAATTTGTGGTATTATTTAGCTTATCCATGAATGATTTTCATAGTTCTCCCTTTCTGGAGGTGTTTAAGATTAGTGAGGACAGAGGTGGCCAGCCTACACAAGTGGCACTAGCAGCCTCTGTGTGCAGCATGTGGCAGATCAGGGAGGAGACAGACAGAACAACAATAGATAGGGCAGGGAGCAGAAGGTAGGACAGTATACTCGGCAGGTAGCACAGGGTAGGGAGCAGAAAGCAGAGCAGTAGCTTGGGCAGGAGAACAGGATTGGAGTGGCACTCAGGGGGTGCGTGAGGCTAATTTGTGGCACTTTTCATAGTTTCATAGTTAGTAGGGTTGGAAGGGACCTGAGTAGATCATCAAGTCTGACCCCCTGCCATGGCAGGAAAGAGTACTGGGGTCAAACGACCCCGGCGAGGTGTTCATCTAACCTCCTCTTAAAGACCCCCAGGGTA